GAGAGAGAGAGAGAGAGAGAGAGAGAGAGAGAGAGAGAGAGAGAGAGAGAGAGAGAGAGAGAGAGAGAGTTGATGTGCAATTTGCATTCACTGTTCTTTCAACTGCGTCGGGGTTGAATGATGGTTTCAGGTTGTTGTCACTATTTCTCGACGCGTTTGGACTCTGCGGAGCTATCCAAGACAGCGGAGTGAGTTATTCTCTTGTCTTGAGATTCTCTCAATTGTTGCGGTCAGTTGTGGAGGAAATGGGAAATGGACGTGTGTTGATATGCCTTCGAAGCTTTGTAGAAAGAATGTGTATCTGCATGATTGAACGTTGTCAGCATGCAAGGATAGGAACGTGCTAAGGCGTCTGCAGAGTCCACGCCAATTATATCACTGGCACCCTTCTCCGCCTGAATCTCTTGAACATCCCCTTGTGGGACCTTTCCTGAACCTGTCCTCCGGAACGTCGCATAAACCTCTTCCTCCTTGCAAACATCTCTCAAGGACATCCCTCGGGGACCTCCCACCTACCTTTTCTCCCGAACCTCCCGAAGTTTTCCTCCCAAACCTCCCCCCAAACCTCTTCTCCCAAACCTCCCATGTACCTTCCTTGAAAAAAAAACCTCCCACGAACCTCTCCCCCGGGACTCTCCACGAAGCTCTACTCTGAAACCTTCCGCCAAACCTCTCCTCCTGAACCTCCAATGGACTTTTCCTCCCGAACCTCTCACAAACCTCGCTCCTTCACCCCCCACAAGCCTCTCCTCTTGAACCTTCCCAAAAACTCTCTTTCCAAACCTCTCCTCCCGATCCGTCCATGAACCACTCGTCCCAAACCTCCGTCTATAATAGTTTGCTCTTTTCGCTTCTTTGCTCTTTTCACTTCTGCCATGATAGTACGGTTGAGACCACTTACTGCAGGGAAGTTCTTCTTACATGTCTTCCAGTCGCGTTTCTCAATATTCAGTGTATGGACTGTATGCCCATATACGATCTGATTTGTTTGTTTGTTTGTTTGTTTGTTTATTTGTTTGTTCTTGTTTTTTTTTTTTTTTTTTGGATGTCTGTTGTAAAAGTTGTAATGCATTTGTGAATCGTGATTACTTTCCTAACCTCGTCAATGCGTCGTTTTTTCCTTTTCTTCTTTTTCAAATTGATGCAATTTTGTTTGTTCTGATTTCGTATTCTTTTTTTTTTTGGCTATCTGTTGTAATACTTGTAATGCATTTGTGAATCGTGATTACTTTCCTAACCTCTCGTCAATGCATTGTTTTTTCCTTGTCTTCTTTTTCAAATTGATGCAATTTTGTTTGTGACTGATGGTGTTTTTTTATTGGGTTATCAAAGACTGAAGGACTCGTCGCGACTACTGTCGTCACCCGAATAGAACACCTGGTGATTATAGCTGTATTTGGGGTCACTTTCAGTCCAGATGCAGCTGTAATGACCGGGCGTTGTATTCGGGTGAAGACGGTAGTCGCGACGAGTGCTTCAATCTTTAGTACCTCTGCTTTCGCACATGCATATTGGATTGGATTCCTCATTCATCCGATCATGAGTGGGTTGGGACTTTTGAACTTTGGAACTTTTGGAACTTTTGGAACTCGGGAACTTTTGGAACTCGGGAACTTTTGGAACTTTTGGAACTTTTGGAATTTTGGAGCTGCAGACATATGTCCCCAAGCATAGATGTCTTTTTGCAAATTTCCAAACCACTCATATGCTTGTGTGTAATTCCATGGAAATCAGTTTATCAACTTTATTAAGTTTATTAAGTTATTTAAGTTTATTAAAGTTTATTTTTGATAATCTCCTCTATGTGCCTTGAGGAAAGTTCTCCGAACGTCAGGCAAATCCACGTTGGATGCGAACGGAATCTTGACCACAATCTGTGGCAATTTTGATAGTTGCCCTTTGGGTCCGAAGTTCTCCTCCCGACAAGTCCTTCAGTCGATTCTGATATTGACACAGACTGCTGATAACTGAGAGAAGAATATGGCCAAGTAACCCTAGTTAAAAAAAAGAAAAGAAAAAGAATTCCACGAATCAGCCCTCTCGGCCGTTTTGAATATAGAACGCGGCCGTTTTGAATATAGAATGCACAGGCATTGTAGCTTTATTTGGTGCAACTTGCAGTCTAGAAACAGAGATGCTGACTGGGTGTTCTATTCAGGTGAGACGACTGATGCTTTCGGTCTCTGGTTTCACTGTGTTGTGTGTACTTGTTATCAAGTTGTTCAGGGGTCGCTGCATATTTGGCATTTCTACTTTTTTTTTGTTTTTTTTGAAGAAGGGGCAGAGACGGTGGATCTTAACAGTTTTGTATCCATCTGATCATTCTGATTCCACAAAGTAACATGAAGTTTGATTTTTTTTTTTTTTTTTTAAGACAGGATTTGAACTCGTGATCTGTTCGTCAACAAGATATGCATGCGTGTGTGCCATTCAGCCAAATGGGCCGCAGGCCGGGTTGCTGTTCCTTTTGGACCTCGTCGCACCCACTAGCGAAATGTGAAAAGACTCAAAGGAGTCAAAAGACAGAATTGTGGCGGGTGCATCTTTTCACGTTGTCCTGGACAATGCATTCTGCCATTCTCCATGTTGTTAGTACTTGTTAGTAGTGACACTGATGCTGCTTCTGTGCCTAGTGCTTTTTGTCTGTTGTATTTCCTGTTGCTTATCTTTTTTTCTCTCTCTTTTTTTTTTTTTTTCATGTGGCCCAATGGACCAAGGATTAGATATTAAACCGAGCAGAACAGTTTTTTTCTCAGGGTTTTTTTTTTTTTTTTTTTTTTTTTTTTTTTTCATGTGGCCCACTTGATCTTACTTGGCGAAAAGGCCGAGAAACTTGGAGGAAGTTTTTTTTTTTTTTTTCTCAGTACTTTTTACTAATTTAGTAAATTTACTACTTTGGAGTCTGGACCGTTTCTTTTTTACTTTTTTTGAAACCTCAGTGGAGGGGCTTGTCGTTTCCAGGGGTGACAGGAGCACACCCTGCGAGTGGTCCCCTCTTGGACGGCTCCATCTATAAGTGGGGAGCTGCACTTGCTTGAAATCGGGTCCAGCGTCCCTGTAATATACAAGTTGAAACGAAGTCGCATATGTCCAGTGTGTATCGTTTCCTTTGCGGGGGTCCAGTGTGTATGGCATTACGTGCTTCATCCTTCTTTTGCGGGGAGCAAGCCAGTCTTCTCTGTATCGTTCCACTCTTAATGGTTTTGTTCATGAAGGACGTTCTTTATTCATTTGTCGAATTTGTCACGGACTCAGTAGTGTTGATTTTGTTTTTCTTTTCTTTTCAATGCTGTTGTTGTGGTTTTGTTGTTTGACTACGTGCAGAGCATTTTGTCATTGTACATTGGAGTCGAGTCTGTTGTGACAATTATTCTCGCATTGAGGGGGATAAAACCTTACTTGGTCTTCAGAGTCATCATCATCCTGCTTGGGATTCAACTGCGGACGTATATATTGCAAGTATGCACTTTGCCGGCTGACCTAATATCCATCTAGGCATTTACAATTTTACATCTTTTTTTTTGTTTTTGTTAATCTAGCTCGGTTCGGGCCATTTCTGAATTTGTGTGTCATTTGCGGGCAGGTGCGATTTTCTGAAGGAAAAAAAGAAATCTTTGGCTCTTTTCTGACTTTCTGTGCATTGTTCCAATTTTGATAGTTGCCCTTGGCGAACATCTCCCTTCATCTCTTGGGAGTCTGATTTTCGATTTTTTGATTTTTTGATTTTGTAAAAAAAATTAAAAAATATTCTGGATTTTTTTTTCACTAAAAGAAAAATGCTTATGTAGTATGTACTAGTTTCTAGCATCCTAGTACATAGTTTTGGCATACAATGAAGTGGTTGAGAACTTGAGAATATGCAGACGACCAATGACCGCTTGTGCGGTACTGCGTGGCACTCTGAGGAAGTCATTGGGCCCAGGCTGGGCCTGTTCAGATGGGGTGGAGTCCAGCGACATCGGTATGCATGGGTCCTGGGGACCAACTCACGCAGATGTGCATACATCAAATATCGTCTTCACACTCAATGGACACAGTTGCCACACACGAGACAAAGGTAGATAAGAATAGGACCAAGACCCGTCACTTATATTATCAAAAATTATGATTACAATGAGTTCACAGTTCCCTGAGTCAACGCGCTTCAGCGCAATACTAATCCCACATCAGATACATCAATGCCACCTTCGTCACTTGCTTCTAGCTYAGGTAAGTGTCCTCCATAACCAGACCTTGAAAGAACACTCTCTCTGTCTYAGTCCCTTCCTCTCACGATGCATRCACACTCTTCTCTCACGAGGATCTACTCTGAATGTCACTCATAGCTATCTACACTAACCCTGCTAAGTCTACACTAATCTGCTGGGCAGCGATGGCTGCTTTCCTCCAGCGCCCAGCCTTCTTCTTCCCTCAGCGCATCTCCTTCTTCCAGCGCTGCTTCTGCCTGACTAGCGCACAAGTGCACCAGCACTTCCACGCATTGAATGCCAGTGGAGATCTGCGTGGAAATGAGGCTGGCAGCTCCTTAAGTAGTGCTGGCCTCTCCCCGTTGGGTCTGCATTGTCTCAATTCGGCCTGTCCTCTTGTCCCAGACCCTGCATTGCATGTGTCCCAGAGCATTCCCAATGAAAAGCAACTGCTGTGGAGGCCCTTTGGCCTGGATACGAATTTTGAAGTCTGGATCTGGACTGCCCCCATGACTCAGACCAAAAACTGGGACATAACTGTTGACTTCCTTTTGAATAGCCACATCTAGACGAACAGACACACTTACTGTCCGAACAGACACACCTTATTCATGACCTACACAACTGCTGGCGAACAGGTAAGTCTTTTGACAATGCCCTTTGCTTCAGGATGTGCCCGTTGGTAGAGAACTTGGACTCTTGACCTGCTTTTCACGTTTCTGAGCCCTGGCGAGATACCTTTTCAGGCTGCTTTACTTTTACATGGCCCACGTTGCTTAGTTACAAGGCCTGAGGCCTACATTGGGTGAAAAAGGCCCTTTCAGGTACGGCTGCGGACAGAAAGAAAAGATTGCCGCCAGTTGCAGATCGGTGTTTATGTTTTTGTTCCAAGGATATACTACCTTATTGACCCGAATAGAACACTCGGTCATTATCCCTGTATCTGGACTGAAAGTCGTTCAGAATACAGCTATAATGACCACGTGTTCTATTCGGGTGAAGACGGCAGGGAGGGTATATGAGCAACCTCTGCCTCTCCGGATGACATGGCGAGTGTGGGTCCCAGGAGGCCCAAGCAGTGCCAGCAACCGGGGAAAAAAATAAAATCTGGGGACAACATTACAATGTTGTAGAATTTTGCAATACAAGTTATAGCTAGGCTACCAGAGTGGCCCGCAACCACTGGCCTGGGCGGGCCAAAAAATAATTTTTTTTTTTTTTTTTTTTTGGTTAAGAAGTTCGATGTGACCTGACCCCTGGCCGGTATCGCCCACCTGCTGTAGTAGGTATCGCACCTGCTGGTGGGTGCAGCTCCCGCATGTTCCCTCGTTGGAGGCTTGAGCACGGATGTGGCTGCTAGGGGGTTCCCCGTAATACTATCATGACAATGAAAAAAGGCCTGAAAGGCCTTTTTTTTTTTTTTTTTTTTTTTCAAGTTGTTCAGTTTATTATTCTGCAATACAGAGCACCCCTTCAAACCCCATTTTTATACGCCCCTCCCCACCATCCCACCCACACACAAAAACCAAATAGAGCCCAGATTCCGGCTGATCTTGTTGGGCCATTTCCATGCCGCACCATCATTGCAAAAAGAAACGAAAAGAAATGCCACCTTTTTTTCGCTGGCATGTGTGACCCGGGCAAGTCGACTACCTGGGCAGGTTGTCTGGATTCCTGGCTGGATGGGCCCAGCCAGGTGGGCCCATTGTTTTTTATTTTTTATTTTTTTGGGGGGGGGAGGGGGAGAGGGAGTGGATACCCCAGGTTTTGTTTTGTTTTGCGGATTAAACCGCTGTGTGAACCCGGCACAGGGAGAACCCCGCGGCAGGACAAGGTCATGCCAGTGGGTATACATGACTTAGTGGGTGTGTAGAGCGTGTTTTATGGCTGTGACCTAGGCTACCAGAGTGGCCCGGGACCACTTGCCCGGCTGAGTCACCAAAAAGAAATATATATTTTTAAATATATTTTTTAATTTTAAATTTATTTTAAAATTGGGAAAGAATTTCGATGCGACCGTGAGTCAAAAGCTATTTAGTTTGTTTTTCTGCATAACATAGTTTTTTTTTCGTGTTTTTAGTTTTTTTCTTTTTTTTGCTGGGACGTTCTGTGGTCCTTGCACGGTCGGGCGGCCCGGGGAAACAAGGTGACCCGGGTGGCCCGGCTGGTAGCCTAGGCTGTGACAGATTGATTTCTCAGACTTATTGCCATTCTTGTCAGGGTTTATTAATGACATTCTGCTAGGGATTGCAGGGTTGGTGTGAGTAAAGTCAACCACCTTTCTCACAGGTATCGCTCACTCTGGGTTGACGTGGTGAGTCCTGTGCAGATTGTCGGGGTCCAACCTCCTGATGTGCCATAAAAGTCTGACACTGTCATTCCTTTTTTGGGGGGAGTTGTCACAGTTCTGTATACTACACAGTGTTAGTAATTTGCAAAACTTCGACTTCTTTCCATGCGCAGCACTGGAACAAACTGAAGTGAAGACCAATCTTGAACATGGCAATTGGAGAGAAGCTTCACAGTGTTTACACCAAGCTTACGTTGAACAATCACACCAGCACACTTGATGAATGAAAAAAAGAAAAAAGAAAAGGTGATGTCCACTTGAGGGCCAGGCTGCACTGAGCAGTCTGCAACGAACGGCACTCAAAACCGTGCAGTGTAGAGCTGGAACACACTAAACATGGCTGCACCCAAACCCTCTCCTTCAGCTGCCAAGTGCCAAGATTGGCGCTGCTGCTCCTCTTCAGTCCGCCAAAATCACGAACTGAAAAATGAATGAACTGTAGTCCTCAGCTCGTCACGTTTTGCTATGCCAGTTTTGCCTGGTCTAGACTCTATAGGACCTAAACCTCTAAACCCTATAGGACCCTATAGCGCCTACAGGGTTCTACCGGGCTCTGGCGTAGAGAATTTTAGAGGTTTAGGTCCTATAGGGTCCTATGTGTTGAAGATCTGCTAACAGTATGCTTTACTTGGAGGTCCCATGTTCGAATCTGACTGACAACAAACTTGAAAACGAAAATAAACCCGACTTGTTTTTGTTTCACACTTGGGCCAGGTCTCTGGTTCAAATCCCCTAAACTGTAAACCCTAAACCCTAAGCCCAACAATAGGGAACATGACAGCACACACAGCAAGGCCTTGCTAAGCGGGTATCCGTTCAGGTTGACTGATGCGGCCAGGGTTGGGAAACTGTACTAGTGGGTATCCGTGGTCGAGTGGGTGTGTAGAGTGGGTTTTACGACCGTGAGAGACTACCGTCTTCACCCGAATAGAACGCCCGGTCATTATAGCTGTATTTGGCACAACTTCCGGTCCAGATGCAGCAATAATGACCGGGCGTTCTATTCGGGTGAAGACGGTAGTTTGTCAGAGTTACTTCCATTCTTGTCAGGGTTTTGGATCGACAGTCTGCTAGGATTGCAGGGTTGGTGTGAGTAAAGTCTACCACTTTTCTCAGGAGTGTCGCTAACCCTTGGCACCGTGGTGAGTCCTTAATCATCAGTCAAATGTATCATGGGAAGACAGTCAGGGTTCAACCTCCCGATGAGTTGTTGAAAGTAGATGCAGATTTGATTTAGCCGCAGGTTTTCATGAGGGAGCTCCGATAGTGTTTTGCCGCAGGGGTAGTGCCTACAGGATGCTGTTTCAAAGCACATAGGGCAGAGGACTGCCGTCATCCTGTGGAATAGAACGCGAAGCCCGGTCAATCTAGCTGAATTTCACCCGAATAGAACGTGACACCCGGTTATTATAGCTGTATTTGGAGTAGCTTCCAGTCTCGATGCAGAGATAATGAGTGGGTGTCCTCTTAGGGTTAAGAGAGTTGGGTGCTGTAAGCAGTGACAGTCTCATGATGTGAGGCCTCCTTTTTCTAGTGTTAGCGAACGAGGCTAAGAGGCAGCCTTTCACCGCGGGTGAGATTCTTGTGGGCCGAGTTTTCAGACCCTTGGGGTTTGGGGTTGGGACTCAGGGTGTCATTGTCAGTGGAGCTTCTGGTGCTCCATGGGCCTTCCATTTATGCATGCTGTCTGCTTTGCCCACACTGGGTGGGTGCTTTTTGTTGGTCTTGGGACTGCCACATATTGGTCTGCGATATTTGCCTACCTACCCTCTTCTTCAGCAATGTGTGAGTGTGCCTTTCGGATGGATGGAGATGTGGTTACCCGGACCTCAAACACACCAACACGTCTGCCTTTGCTCTTTTCTGCTAACGCTTTGAATCCGCTTTGAAACACACCAACGCGTCTGCCTTTGCTCTTAGGA